ATCACTCAGCAGATTCTCCTAGGAATCGTATAACTCCCTCCCTACACGGGCACGCAATCACTCAGCAAATGCTCCTAGGAATCAGGTCATTCAGCAGATTCTCCGAGGAATCACATTGTTCAGCAGATTCTCCGAGGAATCACATTGTTCAGCAGATTCTCCGAGGAATCACATCGTTCAGCAGATTCTCCGAGGAATCACATCGTTCAGCAGATTCTCCGAGGAATCACATCGTTCAACAGATTCTTCGAGGAATCAAGTCATTCATCGACTCTCACAAATCCCCATTCAGGATTATGGGTACATCACTCATACCCCACCAGGAACAACATCTCAGTTATTCTACCCCGGTATATACTCCACTAGGAACAACATCTTGTCATTCTACCCTAGTATATACTCCACTAGGAACAACATCTTGTCATTCTACCCTAGTATATACTCCACTAGGAACAACATCTTGTCATTCTACCCTAGTATATACTCCACTAGGAACAACATCTTGTCATTCTACCCTAGTATATACTCCACTAGGAACAACATCTTGTCATTCTACCCTAGTATATACTCTACTAGGAACAACATCTTGGCATTCTACCCTAGTATATACTCCACTAGGAACAACATTTTGTCATTCTACCCTAGTGTATAAGAAATGCACGTAAACACATTTCACACAACAATTCCAAGCAATGCACACATATTCTCTATATATTCTCATGCATTTAATCTCATCTAATCTCATACGATTAACATACATCTTAATGTATATTCTATAAGGTATCAATCATTCTTCACCATCATCATGCATTTTTAATCAAATTAAACAATGCATATATTTGCCAAACGGCCACAATTCACACTCCACGATTCACAATCTAGGATTCACGCCCTACGGCTACCCACAACATATCATATCACAACATACAACTATGCATTACAAAAAGGAGTCAATCATACTCGAATCGAAGAATCAACATTAGAGTGGAAACACAAGAAAACAACATGCTGTCACGCTCGCTACCTTGCTCGATCAGCGAGCTCCTAGCGAGTGCTCGCTACCTGTTCGCTTAGCGAACAAGCTAGCGAAGGCAAACAGAAGCCACTGACTTCATTCGCTACCCTACTCGCTCAGCGAAGGCCTAGCGAACCTTCGCTACCCCATCTCGCTACCAGCGAAGAACACTCAATCCATTCTGCCATAGTCTGGGACCATTCGCTACGGGCTCGCTACTAGCTCGCCTAGCGAACGTTCGCTACCATCTCGCCTAGCGAAGGTGCTAGCGAGTGTCTGCGAACTCAGAATTTCCCACTGTTCAACATCTCCAAAACCTCCAAAATCACCCGATTCTATTCTGGCTTGTTCCAGTAGCTTTAGCCTAGCATTTCTCGACTAGTCTACACCAATCTATTCCAGAATCTAGCCGATAAAACTCAGTTTCTACCGACTAAACCATATTTATGCCCTAGAATGGAAAATAAGCAAAACATCCCAATAATCCAAACAATCCATACATAATCATACACATTGAGTAAATAATAAAGTTTCACACCCTTACCCGATTAACCGAAAGCTTGGAAGTTGTTCTTGATGAATTTCTAGGTTTTCCTCTCCTTCTCCTCTTTTTCCTTTCCTTTTCTTTCTATCTCCTTCTTTTCTCTCTATTTTTCTCTTATAACTCTTTCTATTCTATTTCTCCCAAAATATCTATCATTCCAAAATCTCATAAAATATCCGACTTAACATTTAATACTAATGTCCAAAAGACCCTCCAATCTATTTTTCAACGAAAACTCTCTGAATCGGTAAAATAGCACAATGAGCACATATGACATATTATCACATAAATTCCACACTAAAATAACAATTATCCAATAAATTCAAAAGGACTCAACAAAATGGGAATAATCGAAATCAGGGCGTTACACCCTCCAACTTTAATTCGGTACAGGCCTCAGTCAAATGACCCTATTACGGTCCAAGAACAGCTGGCAGAAAGGGAAAGGACACTGCAACAGCTCAAAAACAACTTAGAAAGAGCACAAGTTTATATGAAAAACCAAGCTGACAAAAGGAAGAGAGATGTAGAGATGAAGGTTGGGGACTGGGTGCTAGTACGGTTACAACCTTATAGGCAGCAGACTGTTGCTTTGAGAAAAAAATCAGAAACTTGGCATGAGATTTTTTGGACCTTTCATGATTATAGCCAAAGTAGGTGTTGTGGCCTACAAGCTGCAATTACCAGAAGATGCAAAGATTCACTCAGTTTTCCATGTGTCACAATGAAGCCTTTCAAGGGAAGAACCATTGAACAATATATGCCTTTACCTTTAACTATGACTGAGATGGGACCTATTGTACTTCCTGCCAAGGTACTAGCTGCACGCGTGATTCAACAAGGAGAGTTGAAGATTCCTCAAGTTCTTATCCAGTGGACAAACATGCCAGCTGATGAAGCTACATGGGAGGAATTAGAAGACATGAAGGTCAATTATCCAAACCTTAACCTTGAGGACAATGCTGTCTTAAATGGGGATGGTATTGTAATAAGACAAAATATGGAGAAGGACCTAGAGAATGTTGAGTCAGCAATTCAAGTGTGTAAGGGCCCACATAGAATGCGAGAGAAAAAATTTGTTGTGAGTGATCCTGAAATTCAGGACAGCCGTAGAAGCACCAGGTTGCGCAAGACCAATACTCAATTGAAGGATTTCATTACTGTGGGTATAAAATAGAATGATAAGGGAACTATGGTTTATTATGTGTGAATTGTGAAGTATCTCTCTCCCTCTAATACTTTTTCTGTATTCACATATTTTGTATTACCAAATCCCTCTACTTGGTAGAGGTTGATACTGATTTAATCAAACTTTCCCTTATTTTCTCTCTAGCATTATTTCTACCATTTCATTCGTGTGCGGAAGAACTGAATAATTGGAATAGAGCGCGATATAGAAAGAAGAAAAAGAAGATGGAGAGACACTAGGAAACTATGAAAAGGTGTTGTAGAAACCATAATTTGGAGTCTATGCCGCAATTTCTCGAAGCCCAAAAGGAGTGTAACAAAACGTTTATTAGGAAAGATACTTATTGTAAACAAAGAGCTAAGATGCATTGGTTATGGAACATGGATCTCGATACAAAGTTTTTTCATTTATCCACTATAGCTAGAAAGAATTTCCAAAAGATTGACATGTTTATGCAGGAATGTGATGTAGAAGATTTATTTGCAGCCAAAAGAAGTGAGTTTGATCATGTGCTTAACCTTATCCAACCTAGAATTTCTAATGAAGAGAATAACAAATTGATAGTACCTGAGGTTAAGGAAGAACTTGAAGGTGGCGAGAAATATAAGAAATAGAGGGTTGAATTGGGTTTCTAACTCTAATCCGACCTACTAAGGTGATTTTGCCTTCTCAATAAGGACTTAATCTACTATAACTAAAACTGATTACAGACACCATAAAGACTAACCGTCTTTGTCTTCTCAAGTATATCCGACTAAATCCTAGTTCCAAAGGAAAACCACTCAAACAAGATTGAGATTTACAAGTTGCGTTTACAAAGAGTACTTCTAAGAAAGTAGATTAACACAAGTTAATACATTGAATTTTGTACACAATAACGTGCAACAACTCTATGTGTGTTTACAAAAAATATACAAAAAAAATATATTTACTATAGCAAAAAGTGGGTACGTTGAGTAGCGTTAGCGAGCATTAGCAATAGCAATTGCAACATCTTTCAATCATCCAAGTCTTCTTTACATAGAGAGATAAAAGATTTGTTGGAGGGTATGATTAGAATTGCAAATAGCAGTTGTCTCTTTCATAACGATTTTAAATGGAAGACAAAATGGTACAATAATAATGTCCTCCGCCGACAAAATAAAGGTAGTGGAGTGAAGGATGATCTTGTACCGTGTACGATTTTCCAATAATAAAATATTATTTTCAAAATTAGAATAGTGGAGACGGATGATCTTTTATTTATTATTATTTCTTTCCCTAACTACCTTTTTTTTTGTTTTAATTAATAAAATATTACTTCTTACATAATTATAAAACTAACAAGTATTTTTTATATTTATTTATTCATTACTTCTTTTAAAATATCATTTTTTGGATAATTATTTCGCTAACTAGCATTTCTTATATTTATTCATTTATTAACTTATCAATCAGAAGTTATTTATTTTATTCATTATTTATTGATCCCACTAACTATCATTTCTTATATTTATTATTATTTTAAATTGATTTATTTTATCAATTTTCTATGCTATTCTATTTCATTAACAAAAATAATTCTTGTGTTAAATATTAAGAAAATGTAAACTCTCAATAAGTGTAGATTATATTAGGATAATGCTAATATGTGATATAAGATACTACACTAGTTGAGAATTAACTTTTGCTTAATATTTTAGATAGAGGTTTTGCATTACCAATATATTTTATGTTTCATTAATATGATTACAACTTAATATATACGGGTTTTTTGGGGAAAGAATACTATTTATATTTCAAATGGGATCCAGTTATACAAAAGCACTAACAGACTATCTAGACCTAACTCTAAAACCCACAGTCCAAATCCACCCAGCTTAGCCAAAAACATTTTGACATCAATCACAGCCTTAAATCCAACGCACAATAGCCCCTTAACCAGGAAACTTTAAGCAACATTATTCTTCCTTCACCCCAGCCAAGCAATAAAGAACAGTATAAGGGAGATGACCAAGTGGAATAGAAAAGAAGGAGAGATATCACCAAAGAGAAAGAAGAGGAGGTTGCTACAACAAACCAGCATTTTTTAACGGCAAGTCCTGGCAGTCAAGAATGGCAGAACTCATGAGAATATTAAGTTGGAATTGTCGGAGATTTAGCAACCCGAGAGAAATTCGTAACTTACATAAGCTTGCTCAGCAGTACTAACCAAAATTGTATTTCTATCGGAGATGTTATCCAAATCTAGAAAGTTAGAGAGCATTCGAGTTATGTTGAAGTTTGAAGCCTGCTTAACTGTTGATGTGGAGGGTAGGAGTGGAGGTCTAACGGTTATGGGGAAAGATACAATGCGCTATAGTGTGCTGAACTTTACACGGGATTTTGTCAACATCTTAATCCAAGATAAGAAAGGTATTCACCCTCACCCAAATGTTTTGTGTGTCGGTTTCCACCCGGCAGTTAGTGACTACAATCTCGCTGATATCGTTATTGAGGGCCATCAATTCACGTGGATCAAAATTAGGAGCACTGACCATGTGGTGGAGGGGCGACTGGATCGAGCATTAGCAACCCCGGACTGGATGGACTTGTTTCCTAATGTTAAGCTTGTCAACCTTATAATTTCTCATTTGGATCATAGTCCTATTTTACTTCATTGTGATCCTGGTCATCAAAAGCGTAGAAATTACATGTTCAAATTTGAGAGTTGCTGGTTGAAAGGAGAAGACATTGATGATGTTGTTCAGAACAGGTGGAGGCATGGCGAGCGTATTGGTTCGTGTGCGGAAGAACTGAATAATTGGAATAGAGCGCGATATAGAAAGATGAAAAAGAAGATGGAGAGACACTAGGAAACTATGAAAAGGTGTTGTAGAAACCATGATTTGGAGTCTATGTCGCAATTTCTCGAAGCCCAACAGGAGTGTAACAAAACGCTTATTAGGAAAGATACTTATTGTAAACAAAAAGCTAAGATGCATTGGTTACGGAACATGGATCTTGATACAAAGTTTTTTCATTTATCCACTACAGCTAGAAAGAATTTCCAAAAGATTGACATGTTTATGCACGAAGGTGCTCTAGAAGATTTATTTGCAGCCAAAAGAAGTGAGTTTGATCATGTGCTTAACCTTATCCAACCTAGAATTTCTAATGAAGAGAATAACAGATTGATAGTACATGTGGTTAAAGGAAGAACTTGAAGGTGGCATGAAGAATATTTTACCCTATACTCCATCATTTATTCTTCTACCCTCATCTTATATTTTTTTTACTAAAATATCCTCATATAAAAAAATATAAAATTTTTCTCATTTAATTATTTGATATGAAATTTAATAAATAAATCTAATTTTAAACACTACTTAATTAATATTCTCAATAAATACGGAAAGTATTATACATTTTTCGTAAAAAGATGTTAAGGATACTAATTTATATTTGCATGTGATTTGAATGGCAATAACTATATACAACACGATTTTTGAGCTAATAGTTTTTTTCTTCTTCTTATTTTCTAAATACTTCAAGTATGAACCAACCTGTTTGAAGAAAGATGATGGAAATAGTCAATATCTCAAACCATAATTATAAGTTACCTCATATTTGGGCAAATTATTAAAAAATTATAAATGATGCGGGTAGGAGGTATTTTGAAGATAATAGTTGAAAGATATTACGGTTCAAAGAAACTGATATAAAAAACATAGAATAATTTTTGACCAACAGTTTCTCATGATATCAGCTATGAGGTAATTTGAAATTAGAAGACATTGAAAAAAAACTAAAAACATAAAATATGAATTAAAAAAAAAATATATATATTTTTGATAGTAAATTGAAATTAATAAAAATATCAGTTTTTAAAAATATGGATAATTTGTTTTTCATTTTTAATAATATTAAAATTTTTAAAAAATTAAAGTTTAAAAATTTTATAAACAAAATTATATAATACTTTTACGGAAAGTATATAATACTTGTCATGTTCGTTAAACATATCAATTAAGTAGTGTTTAAAGATAGATTTATGTATTAAATTATAGATTAAATAATTAAATTAGAAAAATTTTATACTTATTTATATAAATATATTTTGGTCAAAAAATATAGAAGGTAGAGGTAGAGGAATAAATGATAGGGTATGGGATAAAGTTTCCTGGCATGAAATATAAGAAATGGGGGTTGAATTGGGTTTCTAACTCTAATCCAACCTATTAAGGTGATTTTGCCTTCTCAATAAGGACTTAATCTACTATAATTAAAACTGATTACAGACACCATAAAGACTAACCATCTTTGTCTTCTCAAGTATATCCGACTAAATCCTGGTCCCAAAGAAAAACCAATCAAACAAGATTGAGATTTACAAGTTGTGTTTACGAAGAGTACTTCTGAAAAAGTAATTTAACACAAGTTAATACATTGAATTTTGTACACAATAACGTGCAACAACTCTACATGTGTTTACAAAAAATATACAAAAAAAAATATTTACTATAGCAAAAAGTGGACATGTTTGCAACATCTTTCAATCATCCAAGTCTTCTATACATAGAGAGATAAAAAATTTGTTGGAGGTTATGATTAGAATTGCAAATAGCAATCTCTTTCATAACGATTTTATTCATTATTTGTTGATCCTACTAACTATCATTTTTTATATTTATTATTTTTTTAAATTGATTCATTTTATCAATTTTCTATGCTATTCTATTTCATTAACAAAAACAATTCTTGTGTTAAATTTAAGAAAACGTAAACTCTCAATTAAGTGTAAATTATATTAGGATAATGCTAATATGTGATGTAAAGTAGTACACTAGTTGAGAATTAACTTTTGCTTAATATTTTAGATAGTTTTTTTGCATTACCAATATATTTTATGTTTCATTAATATTATTACAATTTAATATATACGTTTTTTCGGGGAAAGAATACTTTTTATATTTCAAATGGGATCCAGTTCTTCAAAAGCACCAACAGACTAACTAGACCTAACTCTAAAACTACACGTATTCAATGCATAAAGTTCTATACATATTACTCATAACAAAATTATATTTCATATTAATCTTGGAGAAACTGCATCAGCACTAGCCATTTCCAAAAGAGTTTTTGCATTGCTATTTATATTCAATGAATAAACCCATGCATTGGTAAAAGGACCGGATTTTATAAACATGCATTTGTCTTTTCAACCTTGGAGCAAAATCAAATACTTACATTTTGAATCATTAATGAATAAAACTAAAAATGATAATCTGATACTGATAAATAAAACATCCAAAAAATTGTTTGCATAAAAAATTCTTGAGATTGTTACGGGAACAATTACAAAATAGAAATCAAACTTACTAAAAAGCATGCCAAGAAAATAATAATAATTCCGTGTTCTTTAACACTTACTAAAAAGTCATAATCAGAACCTATTATCTAATACTCCGAATCATCATTAGCAAATGTTCCTAGAAAAAAAGCTTTATAAGCTACATCATGATCATCGACTTCCTCGCAATAATTAAGTTTTAGAAGTTGTAAATCTTTGATTTGCTCCTGCCACCTTTTTTTCACACTTTCACTTATATTAACCCAGATGTTAGTTGGTATATCAAGTGATCCAAGAAGAGGGCAACCATCAAGAATGGCAAGTAACTCCCTATCGTGAATCCAAATTCCAGAGATTGCAAGATGGCGTAATACAAACATTGTTTTTGCAATAGCAAAAACCTGATCAGCAAACAATTTGAACAGGATGCAGTAACCACTTTGCACCTCAAGATATAATGAATTCAAGAGAGGGCAATTTTGACCAATAACTTCGAGAGAATCCTTAGATAAATACACAAATGAAATCTGAAGATCCTCTAATAGTGAAAACATAGTCACAAATTTAATCAGTCCTTCATCTGTTATGCCATTGCAGCAAGAAATTTTTAACCTCTTTAGGTTGCTTGCCCTGTAAATATTACGAATTAAAATGTTTAAAATATGCATTGCCTGAAACTAACAATAAACAAAATGAAAGTGATGTGTATTACCTATGCGCCACATGCTTGAGAAGGTCATCTGTCCCAAATGACTCAATAGCAATGTCTTCCAGATGACCGCAGCGACAAATCTTATCCAAACAACGAAAATCAAATGGAACAAGTTTGATATTACTCATGTCAATGGAACGCCACATGAAAGGGTCTTTACAAATGTTCCACCACATAGGACAAACATTACGTGCACTTGTTATAATTTCAACGCTATCAAGTCTTTGGAGAATGTTCTTGGTCAAATCTAATGGAAGTTCAAGCCAGTTTGGCTTTATTGTACTCTCACCATTAGTTTTCTCCATAGACGATGCCATATTATTATGACAAAAACGATAATACTAAGGATTTCAAGCATTTTACGATTAAATTTTACAGTCGTGAAGGGCCCATTTGGCTGCCCAATGTAGCCTTGAAAATATACAATGTAATTTGCCTTAAAATTGTGCAGTTAATAGTCCAACTCTTAGCCTGGGCCTAACTCAACCCTACAAAACCGGCTGGTAGAGTGAGGATTGCCCCCACTTATAAACACATGTTCATGCTATATATTGTCCGATGTGGGACTCTTAACACTTCATATTCATTATTTCAAATTGAGATTTGTTTTTTAATTTAAGAATTGAATAAAAAATAAAAAATTAAACGTTAGATAATTTTTTATTGCATTTTAGGCACTATATAAAATTTTAAAAATATTTTAAAATTTTGGAGATACATTTCAAAACACAACATAATACACAAATTTCATTTATTTTTGAGTCAAACTTAAATTTTATCAATGAATTTATTCTAAAAATATATTTCCCAAAAAATTTCCAGAAATATAATTCCAAAAATATTTATGTTAACTTTTTACATAAACTTGCATCAAAATAACATTTTATTTATTAACTACTTAGTATTTATATTGATTTAATATGAAATTATACAACTATAATGATTAAAAAAAATAGATTAATTGAAATACACGTAAGTGTAAATTTATTTTACACGGTTATCCAATTAAAATTAATATTTTTAACATATAAGCATCTGAATTAAAAATAAAAATAATATATTATAATTAATTATTCTAATAACTAATTCTCTCTCATTTTTCTCTCTCATTTTTCATTCTTATGTGTAAAAAGAATACATTTTAATTGTATGACAAAAATACACTTGAAAATGTATTCCAATTAATCTCTTACAAAAGTATTGAATAAAATTGAGTACAATAACTTGATAAATAATTTTATATTATAAAAATTTTAAATAAAAACATATTAGTTAAATAAAATGTTAGTTAGTTATTTAAACAAAAAAAATTAATTAATTATTTAATATATTTATATTTAATATACAATAAACTAATAACATAATTAATATATTTTTATTTAATTAATATAATTTTTAATATACAATAGCATAACAACTAAATAACATTTTATTTGAAATTTTTATAATATAAAATTATTTATTAAGTTATTGTAATCAATTTTATTCAATATATTTTTTAATCAAGATAGTTGTGTAACTATTATTTTATATTAAATCAATATAAATATTAAGTAATTAATTAATAAAGTATTATTTAGTTAACATAGGGTGTTGCAAGTACATATAAAAAGTTAACAAACCTGTTTTCAGAAATATATTTCTGAAAAAATTTTGGAGATATATTTTCGAAATAAATTCATTCATAAAATTCGGGTTTCACTCAAAAATAAATGAAATGTGTGTATTAAGGTGTGTTCGGAAATGTATCTCTAAAAATTAGAGATATTTTTGAAATTTTACACGGTGCCTAAGAAACATATAGGATGCAACTTTATATATGAAGTACGGAAACCTTTTGTAAGAGTGTCGCGGTTAGAGATGGTAATGGAAAAGCTACTATAGAACTTGTCCCCGTATACACAGTTTGAAAAAATCCTAATACTCGAGTCTATATCAGCGTTGGAACCAACATTTATACTAGTATTCGTACGTATCCTATAACACCCAAATTTGAGATTGCCACCAAAACTCTATCACACATTTGAATTTAGATTGGACCAAAATCTTTTATTTCCTTCTAATACATCATAGTCAAGAATTGAATCACAACATAATATGGACCCACCTGACACTACTACAAATAACACTTTTTATGATAAAATTTTCACATTGAAATGCTAAAAACCAAGAGTATAATTCTTGGTAGCGTCACGCTAACAACCTGTTACATCTATTATCCATAAAACTGAGAAAATATATTTATAAGGAGCGCTATTTTATTTTTAATATAACCTATCATCTCGATTTTTTTTTATAAGTTTTAGGGATGCTTTGAATCCCGTTACTTTATTTTTTCTTTGTTAAAATTTTTTTCTTCATTTTTCTAAGTTAATTAGTAAAACTCAAAATCTTTGTTATCAATAAAAAAGATTAGGCAATAATATAATTGAAAAGAAAGGAAAAATTTCATTAATAATCAATTACATATTAAAAAAAAAAAATAGGACAACATATAATTATTCCACATATTAAAACTTCTGACAGCACTCAACTTCAACAATTAATTGTACTCTTTTTACCCTTTTAACTATCATTAACTAAGAGTAAATTTTAGAAAGAATTCTTCTATATGGTATGAAGGAAGTCATTTCCTCGTGAGAAGTTGTAACACCCACATATAATATATGTCTAGAATAATTCATATTATACATGGTTGCAAATTTGATACTGAAATATACATAAGTTCCCTATCTTATGGAACCACTACGCCAGAATTGACTTTTAGCAGCGCATTCAAAGACAACGCTTTTTGAAAAAGCGCTGCTAAAGAGTCATTAAAAAAAAGAGAAAAAAATAGCCTACCATAGACAACGCTTTTTAAAAAGCGCTGCTAAAGGGAGGCCCTAAGAAAGCGCTTTTTAAAAAGCGCTGTTAAATGTATGACCTAAGAAAGCGCTTATTAAAGTGTTTTTCTAAAGCGCTGTTGTAGGTTTAACCTACGAGAGCGCTTTTTCTGTAAGTGCTACTAAAGGGTATACCTAAGAAAGCGCTTTTAAAAAGCGCTGCTATATGTGAAGCCTAAGCCACACCTTAGACAACGCTTTTTAAAAGCGCAGTTAAAGCCATTAAAAAGCGCTGCTATAGGTATTAATTAAAATAAATTTAAACTACCCACCCGAATTTTTAAAAGAAACAGAACAGTCGTGCATGTTTCTTTCTTCTTTCTCCTCTGGCGAACATTTTCATCCGTAACCTAACCACCGTTTCCATCGAGCTCCTCCGTCCAACCATCACCGGCCGTCATTCTCCTTCGTCATTCTGTCTGCAACTACAAGGTAATCACATTATTTTGTTTTATAATGGTGTTCTTGTCATTCCTCTAATTTTATCCGTCTGATATTAATATGAGAAAATGAGAAAAACATTGTTCTCTTTTTCTCTCACTTAAATGCATTCTAGGTGTTTGATAAAATACCTCTTAATATATAGATGGTGTTGTAGTATTGGTGTAAGAAAAACTTTGTTTTAGTATATAGATGGTGAAATTTTGTTTTAGTTTTTAGAAAATGCATGAAGATTTTTTATTTAAGCTTGTATATTGATGGTGAAATTTTGTTGAGGACAATGATACAAAAGAAGAAAGATACGAGATCTCAATACCTTCTTCTAAACCCAATAATAAAAAATAAGTGAACTATAAGTGATAGTAAACAAGAAAATGGGAGGAAATAGAAAATGGAGAGATTAGGAATCATTTTTAATCTTGATTATTGTTGGTTATGTTAATTGGTTGAAATAAGTGTGTTGCTTAAACAATATTATTGTTTTAGTAAAAGGATTGTTAGAATTAAGTTGGACATAGTTATGAATTGTTGAAATATTTTTAAAATTGTATTTTAACCCATAAGAGTGAAAACCTTGTGATAACCTAAGTGATTTAACATTAAGTCTGAGAGGTATACTTATAGTTATAATCAGCTTGTAGTCCGTTTTATGGTATTAATTTTGTCTGTTATAGGGGTTACCTGTGAAGAGCAAGGTTGTAATCGTTTCCAAGCATCCTACTGTGTAGCTTTCTTAGAGGTATTATGGCCACCAACTAGGAAATATCACATGATGGAAACGAAACAACAAAAGACGTGGAAGGCGATATTAAAAGAGGAATAACGATAATGAAAAAAATCATCTGTGCGAGAGATAAAGGTGTAAAGTATGATGTACATTAGAATGAAAGAGATCAGTTAGTTGAGCCTAACGGTGCGTTGCTGACAGGTTACATTGGAGCACTTGTACGTTCGCAAGTTCCAATTACTTGCGATAATTGGAGAATTCCTTCGTTAAAACCGGCTAAAGATAAAATTTGGAGCGAGATACAGGTATGATATTTGGTTATTTTTAATTATGTTGACGGTTACATCTTTAAACTAATTATACTAACATGTTACATGTATGTGTATTTGTTTGCAAAGATCTTTTAATATTGATGATCGCAGGAGAAAATATTGTCTTCAATTGGCCGGAAAACGACTGAGGGGATTTAAAGTGTTTTTAACGAACAAGTTTCTTAAAGATTCAGATGGAAACTTTGCCGACTCGGAGTGTCCAATGAAGTACGCTGATCTGATTTCAGATGAAGAATGAGAGACATTTGTTACCAAACGAAGAACCAAAGAATTTGAAGTAAGTACAACTTATCATGAACAATGTATAGTATATATACTTCTTCCACAAGAGTTCTGATATGACTTAAACTTGTTTTTTCAGATTGTGAGTGGCACCAATCGGCAACGGGCGTCAAAACCTGCGTATCCATACAAAAAAGGGCGTTTGGGATATGCACGCCTAGAACAAAAAATAGTAAGTACATATAAATGCTTTAATATGATATATTTACAAAAAATAGTAAGTATATATAATAGGATATAATGCTTTATTATCCGTCTTAATGCGTAGTTAGAAGAGGAGAAAAGTGATGTGACATCTCTTCCGGACCATGTTGTATGGAAGGTTGTCCGTGTGGGAAGAGATGGAGTCGTTCAAGAAGAAGTTCAACAAGTATTTGAACAATGTGTAAGTACAACATTAGCTTTGTTAGCAACTGATCAAAAGTGTATAATATATTTATATATGCTTTTATCTATATTTCAGGAGACTCTATCCCAGATTATAACTTCAGTTGAGGATGATGATTGCAGGAGCTTACTGAGTCGAGTGTTAAATATTTCTGAATATTCTGGGCGTGTGAGGGGTAAGGGATTTGGTGTCACTCTATCAAAACTGTATAAGCAGCCAAAGAAAAAATATCCTAGCAATAAAGAAGTGATGGATACTTTAG